TTAGGTTATTCATCGCAAACAATTTTCCGTTCTTGTTATTTTTGAAAAAAATGGGTAACATGTATGTGTTCGCATGTGCGACAAGTAGGATCTCCACAGGGAAATGAACCGAATCCGATAAAAAGGGGGAGGGGGGTCTTCTTTTCTCAAAATGTCTGAAAGCGTGTCATTCTTAATTTTTCGAAGAAACCTTTTGGAATAACCCCTCTCCCTTAATTTGTCAAAAACTAGTTTACAGGCGGATTCAAAATCAGCCTGTTGGGTGCAAATTCTATGAAATCTTAGAATTTGAGATTTAATTATTCCAGAAAATGTTTGCTTCGGGTGGAACGAGCTTTTGTATAAAAGTTTGTGGGTATCAGTTTCCTTTAAAAATACTTTAATGTCTAATTTTTTAGAAGAAAAAAGTTGTTGCCTTTGAACACCGTGGTGTCCAAAAAATCCATGCTGTTTTCGCTGATATTTGCTGTCAATTTCACAGAAGGGTGGTGGTTGTTTAAAATTTCGAAATATTCCCAGAAATGTTCTAGAGTATGGACCAAATGATAAAAATATCGTCAAGACACCGCCCATGAAATAAAGGTTTAAATGGTGAGATATTTTCTATCTCCCTCTCCCAATCGACCATAAAAATATTCGCATAACTAGGGGCAAATCGTTTGCCCATAGCAGTTCCAGATGTTTGTAAATATATTTTTCCATTAAAAAAGAAGTCATTGCGCGTATTGGTGTTAGTTAGGCTGAGGGAATAAAAGCAAACAGCGGGCTGTCTCTAGCAAACACTGGCCGTGGAATCAGAATACAGAGCGGGATTCTAACCCACAGCACTTAATCGCCTAGCACCAATTCAACTGGCTTCCGACTGCGCTAATCCTTCGCAATAAAAAGAAAGTGGCAATTTTATCTTCTGCTAAGATTATTATAGGTCATAAATAAATTAATCTAATTACACTATCTTTAAACTCTATAATAATTCACAGTTTTTTTTAATTTTTTGCAAAATTTCCCCTTATGATAATAAAACATACACTTCTTTAGAGCAGTGACATTTTGATACATTAACCAGTTCGAATTTTGTCTGTTTGTCTGTACCATTAATAGAACATTATACAGCAATTTTTGGTTATTGGTTTTCGGGGAATGGAGGGTTTGATTCTCCCAAATGTACAGGCCTAGGGTGGAGCAGACACTTTATTTAGAAATTAGGATTAAAGGTCTTGATATTGGGTTTTCTTCTGTTCTTATTCTGATCTGAAATTAGAAAAAATAACTCGCCCGATGGGCGAGAAGTATAGTATCTGTTATGTACTGATTGTTTTTAGTTTACTATGAACAATATTATCATTTAAGTTCTTATTTTTTGAATATGCAACTATCATTTTCTGCTTATAGACATGGGGGAATTTCTCTTGAAGGCTCTTATAGTGGGCATGAACTATCTTGCTTGCTCGATTGCTGGTTGTATTAAACGGGACAACAAAGGGTGCTATGCCTACATTATGATGAATATTTAGTCCTATAGGTCTTGCTGTATTCAATGTCTCAATCCAATGGGCCTCCCTAGAT